TTTTGGATATGCAAGTTTTTATAACCCCTTAAGTTTGTTTCAGTCCACTTTTGTATTTATTAAAAAATATAGTTGATGACTAATTAATGACTAATTTTTTAGCAGAACTAACCTTTGATGAAAAATGCCTTTTGTCTTTTCCAATAGCTCTTGATTTCCTCGTATGAGTAGTTTCTTACTTTGTTACTTTATCCCTGGGATCTTTATATGATTTTTGATATTTAGACAACTCGTTTATTAAAAACTCGCGAGTCAAATGCCGTTTACCGCACTTGTTGCATAATATATTATTTCAGTAGAAAAAAATAGGTAAAAAAGTTCATATTAATGCCCTAAAATGTTTCGTTTTGGAGGTACAGGATGATGAAATATTGCGAAAGAAATTGTTTCTTTTTTGTTTGTTTGTTTTTATATTCAAACTTAGTAGGTCTTATTGCTATTTATAAACAAATTTATAGTGGGATTAATTTTTTTGTAAGCAGTGGCGTTCGTGATTATTAATTCGAATAATAAGAAAAGTGGCAGGCTAATAGTTTATGGAAATTTTGTTAACAAATTTATATACCTCTAAACACCAAGATGGCGATTATTTGAAAACGGCAACTACATTTTTTTAAGGCTTATTGTAAAATTTGCGACCTTGTATAAGCATATTTTGGGATTTACATAATTTCTGTCTGTTGTTAATATGTATATGAATCGGACATTGCTTTATCAATTATCTAGATTATAATAAACCAATTACTTCGTTGTATTGCATTATTGATGTTCGAGATAAATTAGTTTTATTATTACCGATGACAATAAATATTGGCAAAAGTTCTAAAGAATGTTTTATATGCATTGGGTGTCGTTCGATAGTTTTAAAACAAGTATCGCAGAGATTAAGATACATAATGAAAGCGTTTAAGAACACGATCACCTTCACTTTGCTATTTGGTGCAAAAAAAGCCACACCTTGCGATTTGTATTTCCCTTCCAAAGATATCTGCAAAAGCAAACAGGTTACGTTCGAACGAAGTTGGTAGAATCTGATGCTATAAATATTTGTCTACATTAGTGTACTTCCGGGCAATTTCGGGTGACCCAGCGGGTGCCATGGCCATTTTCATTCGCATAAATTTAGAATACACGCCAATGTTATTTTAACCATCTGTCGAATATAAAAAGAGTGAAGAAAAAAAATAAAAATAATAATCAAAATAAATAAGAACTAAAAGTTCAGATTTGTCACATTTGATAAAGACACGGTGTTGACATATTTAATCTGCAATGACATTTTGGATGTTCTATATATATATATATATATATATAGTATATATTATATATATATATATATATATATATACATATATATATATATATATACATTATATATATATATATATATATATATATATATATATATATATATATATATATATATATATATATATATATATATATATATATAT